CACAGTAAACAGAAGAGGAACCAGAAAATAACGAGCGGGGTGTATTGCACAATCATGTGCTGGAAGGGCTTCCCTCGCTTAACCGCTCCCATCGATTTAACGACACACAAAGGTGTGCATTGCGTGTACAAAAGGCTTATCAAAAAACAGTTCAGGAGAACTGCATTGTGGTCATGATTGCCTTTGACCACAAACTCCATACAATGTGAACAAATGTGAACAAACTACAGGCGGCAGTAAAACAAATACAAAACTGCAGACTGGTTGTCTTCTTATGAGGACTTATGAGTACAGTACTGCCTCTGGGAAGTCTCATACATGAAGAGGGCTTAGCTTGACACTATGGGGACTCATTTTGCTTTCCCAATGGCAACAATAGTTCAAATCCATAAGTGACAAAAAAACAGTGCTAGATGTTCTCTCAATGTTATGAACAATGCAGTTCTTCTGAACTGGTGGTTTTGCATAAGGCCGAGAGCTTTAGTACATGCTATGCACATATTTAAGTATTGTTAAAATCTATTTGTTTCCGGCCTGTGCCAACCGTTCTTTTGTGGTAGGTTTACAGTGAGGGAAAAAAGTATTTGATCCCCTGCTGATTTTGTACGTTTGCCCACTGACAAAGAAATGATCAGTCGATAATTTTAATGGTAGGGTTATTTGAACAGTGAGAGACAGAATAACAAAAAAATCCAGAAAAACGCATGTCTAGAATGTTATAAATTGATTTGCATTTTAATTAGGGAAATAGGTATTTGACCCCCTCTCAATCGGAAAGATTTCTGGCTCCCAGGTGTCTTTTATACAAGCAACGAGCTGAGATTAAGAGCACACTCTTAAAGGGAGTGCTCCTAATCTCAGCTTGTTACCTGTATAAAACACACCTGTCCACAGAAACAATCAATCAATCAGATTCCAAACTCTCCACCATGGCCAAGACCAAAAAGCTCTCGAAGGATGTCAGGAACTAGATTGTAGACCTACACAAGGCTGGAATGGGCTACAAGACCATTGCCAAGCAGCTTGGTGAGAAGGTGACAACAGTTGGTGCGATTATTCGCAAATGGAAGAAACACAAAAGAACTGTCAATCTCCCTCAGCCTGGGGCTCCATGCAAGATCTCACCTCGTGGAGTTGCAATGATCATGAGAACGGTGAGGAATCAGCCCAGAACTACAATGATCTCAAGGCAGCTGGGACCATAGTCACCAAGAAAAGAATTGGTAACACACTACGCCGTGAAGGACTGAAATCCTGCAGCGCCCGCAAGGTCCCCCTGCTCAAGAAAGCACATATACATGCCCGTCTGAAGTTTGCCAATGAACATCTGAATAATTCAGAGGACAACTGGGTAAAAGTGTTGTGGTCAGATGAGACCAAAATGAAGCTCTTTGGCATCAACTCAACTCGCCGTGTTTGGAGGAGGAAGAATGCTGCCTATGACACCAAGAACACCATCCCCACCGTCAAACATGGAGGTGGAAACATTATGCTTTGGAGGTGTTTTTCTGCTAAGGGGACAGGACAACTTCACCGCATCAAAGGGACGATGGACGGGGCCATGTACCGTCAAATCTTGGGTGAGAACCTCCTTCCCTCAGCCAGGGCATTGAAAATGGGTCGTGGATGGGCATTCCAGCATGACAATGACCCAAAACACACGGCCAAGGCAACAAAGGAGTGGCTCAAGAAGAAGCACATTAAGGTCCTGGAGTGGCCTAGCCAGTCTCCAGACCTTAATCCCATAGAAAATCTGTGGAGGAAGCTGAAGGTTCGAGTTGCCAAACGTCAGCCTCGAAACCTTAATGACTTGGAGAAGATCTGCAAAGAGTGGGATAAAATCCCTCCTGAGATGTGTGCAAACCTAGTGGCCAACTACAAGAAACGTCTGACCTCTGTGATTGCCAACAAGGGTTTTGCCACCAAGTACTAAATCATGTTTTGCAGAGGGGTCAAATACTTATTTCCCTCATTAAAATGCAAATCAATTTATAACATTCTTGACATGCGTTTTTCTGGATTGTTTTGTTATTCTGTCTCTCACTGTTCAAATAACCCTACCATTAAAATTATCGACTGATCATTTCTTTGTCAGTGGGCAAACGTACAAAATCAGCAGGGAATCAAATACTTTTTTCCCTCACTGTATCATCACTTACAGATTTACACTGATCTCACAGTTGGAGATTACAGTGGCTGTTTATCTGTATCGAACATAGTTTGCATATATTTTTATGAAAAACTATTTATGCCCTTACAGCCTTCGTGGCCAAGAGAAGAAGTCAGCCTTATTATTAAATTAACAACAAAAAACACTCCCCATTGTTGCACACGGATTCAAAGGGACACACAACGGATGGCTTGCACATTTGGTTTCGGGTGCTGTACATGAACGGTTGGCACACGTTAATAGGGGCGGCCCTATTCTATCCAGTGCGGCGAAACGAAACGAGAGCCAAAGCTTTATGTTTCCATGTTTCCATGCCTCTCGGGGATTTGCAGAGTACACTTTTGACCTGCTCGGCAGTGGAGCTGTGGAGGCCAATTTCTTTGAAGCCATTTTTTCTAAACTTTTCCCAGCGTATCCAAGCGCCAAACAACATTCACTCGACACAAACTGGGCGCAAGTGAAGAAAACGCACGTATATATCCGCGCGCACGCACGCCGTTTCACACAGACCAACGCACACTCGCAAATTATCGTTGCACCACACGGTCCAACTAAGGCTCTGTGATGCACTGGATTCCAAGGGGGATCAGGGGTGAGAAGCACCCAGGCCGCAATAAGTCACGAGCTTAAGCCTGCCAACAGCCGGAATTTCACTTTGAACAAAGCAACGCATTGGCCACCAGTAGAGCTGGCCAGGACACTGCGCAGAAAATCCACTGGACCCTCTGTAAATTGTTAAGCAAGAAAATTATTCAAACACAGATAGCATTTTGCCAGACAGACATTCTCCTCAACTAATTCCCCAAACCATATCAGCGATGGAAAAAAAAATACCTTCCTGTTGTATTTGATGTGAGCCCAACTGGCCATCACCCACTTTTACACTTGCGGCCTGTAGTTCCTCAAACTAATTTTTGCCCTTTTACTGGGGGCAGATGTGGGGAGTATAGGGCATGGGGTTAATCCACAAGGGACCTAGAAATTGATGATAAAATCCTTCGAAATTGCCCTTTTAATAGCAGAGTGAAACGAACAGCAACCAGATAGGACTGTGGCAGCCCAGGGCTCTGGCTTAAGTCATTAGGCACATGTGGTGAAGGTGTGGAGCCCACGCGTGTGTAGGACCTCTGAGTAAGCCGAGCAATGAGACACCAGAACTGGTCCCATGTGAGCCGTTTGCAGTGGGAAGGCAGAGTGAATGTGCACATGTGTGAGCACAGGTTTTTATCAGTCGTAGGCATTACGTAAACACATGTGTGTGTCAATGTACCTGTGTGTGTAATGATTAGCACCCTGCACTAGAACCACATGACCAAAATTTGGTTAACATCAGTGGCGAGTGATATCTGAACCTGGTTCAGGAGACACAGATATTTAGAAATGGTGCTGGCCAAACTCCCCCCCCCCATACACTATGCAAGTCTCAATAAGTGGTTGCTCACAGCACTTGCTCCAAAAGTCCTTGAATGCTATATGGGGGATCTCTGTCTGTATATACAGCAGGGTCAGCCACAAGCCATGGTTAATGTCAAATTTCAGGCATTCAAAAATTTGCATAAATTACTTTAAATTTACATTAACTCGTATATTGGACTGTACAAGCGACACATTCTTTCATGAATAATTGCCTTCCGTGTGACTTTTCAAGTATCTTATTTTCTTAACTTTCTGGCTAGTCCTATAATAAAATTGTGAAAATTTAATACATTCATAAGCCACCGCGTGAAGCAAAGTTTTGATGAGGAATGCACAGGTCAAGGTCAAACCAATACCTTTAGCTTTTGTTACGATACTGCTTACTGGGGAGAAGAATATTAATTTATTTTTTGGGAATTGCAGACAGAGGTCTTTCTGCCTTCCGTTTGCATACAAGCGGAGATATGCATTCACACACACACACACGCACACAAACCACGCAAATTTCCTATTACTGTACACCCACTAAAGGAGGAAAACGTTGACAGATAACCTTTGTAATGCCCAGACCATGCATCCGCTGGAAGGATTGACAGCTTATTTTCATATGATGAGTCAATTCAATTATACACAGCTGTCAGCAGGAGTCAGTTTGAACTCCGTTTATAGCTCACTTTTTTGTATCAGTTGAGCAGGCAGTAAATATAACCTCTTGGGTGTGTCTGTGTGAGCACGTGTGAATGCTTGTAAAGGACAGCACCTTGGTTAGCGCAACTACCATACGAACCCGGCGATTGCCGGCTATGGCTAGCAAGTGGAAATTCATATCTGAACCAGGCCTGGGCTTCTCCAAAGTTGACTCAGCCTTAACAGAGTATCTGGTGCAGTGGGTAAACATCAGCACTGGGGAGACAATAGGCAGCCGTCACGCCCTTCGTGCGCCGTGCCGCCCTTCATAGCTACTCGTGAATAGCACTGTGTAGGCTAAAGCATGCTTGTGCGTATGTATGCTTACGTGGGAAGGCTTAAGTAAATAATGCGCGCCTCTATTCTGTCCTCTGCAAACAGCCAGCGTCAAAGACGCTGCATAGCAAATACAAAGTACGATTCCCCATACAGCCTTAACACACTGTTGGGGCAAGTTCTGTTAGCAAATGCCTATCAAGGCCGAAACATCACCCGACATGGCACCCGAAAGGGTTGGTAGCCAATGCCACGGACGGCTGCCTTTTTCTTCCCAACGCTACTGTTTGCACACCGCACCGGGATAATTTGCATTTACAGCAAATTTCCAGCACTTTGCTCAAGAAATTGCACTTGGCTTAAGAAATGCTTTGAGATTTTAACCATTCTCTCCAACCATCGACGACGGCTGCCAATGCCGCACGGCACACGTGTACACCTGGGCACAAACCTCAATGATGTAGAGCACGACGTTCTTGTAGAAGGAGTACAGGATGCACTTGGCCACGCGGTTATAGCTCCAAGCGCCGTGGACCAGCAGCAGCTTCTTCAGGAAGCGGAACTGCTCACCGCACAGCGGCGTCGACACACACCGCGACGACGGGACACATGGTCAGAACACGGCAAACCACAAAGCCGAGCGTTCTTTGTTGCAAGGCCCGTGGGGCCACTGGCGGCCCCCTGGTGGCCTTTAGTGCGGCCCCTGACGTGCAGTCTCCCGACAATTCACAACACGTGCGAGAACACCCCCCCCCCATCATCGTGCTGCTGTCAAACCCGATGGTTTCAAATGTGTGGCGGCCTTCGCACTGAAAATGAGTGAAGGATACTGCCACGACACGCCAACCACAACACTTTTCACATTCGTACGACGGTGAACAGGTTGTCCGAGCGCCCACGGCTTGCTTCTTTGCCCAGACGGTTGTGACGTTAAGCTCCTCCAGCCATCATTCTCTGCCCCTTTTATTTCCAGTTTTTTTTTATAACACTTTCAACTTGTAACGCACCGTACAGGATTCGTTCAAACTCCCAGAGACTCAGGAGGCGTGAGGGCCACAGACGAGCTGTAAGGCGGCTGGCAGGGTGTGAGCCGAGGCCAATAATTGCCCAAGTTCTGTGGTCCTCCATATATTAAGGTGTTTACATGTGGGAGGTAAACCGCAGCACGCGAAGAAAGCCCACGTGTGCGAGGGGGTAACGCTCTATCCCATACAGATTTAACTCGTGGAATCTACATTCGTGGCAAGCCAGGGTATGGCACCTCGATGCCACAGGAAGAGAGTTTCACAACAGTGGCGTGATCCACCAACCCTAGGTGCCTCCACACTGCTGGATAACAGGATCATATTTACGCCCGTTATTGTGCCCCCGGGTCATAGGCGGACAGAGCTGATGCATTAACGCTTTAAACCTTAAGTTGAAAGGCATCAGTACATTGTAAATGTTTACGACGGGGGCTGCTAATGCGAGTACCAAGAGCAACGAAAGTTTCCTACACGTGGCGTGGACTCAGCCAACCTGATTCCAAACCAAAAAAAACGATGAGTGTGACAATACAGCGAAGTCACATTTTTTTTTTACTTAAAATGAATAAAAACATGTAAGACACTGAGCTCGCTCACAAAGTCGTGCCACAAGCCAAGAGTTTCGGCTTTTTTGTGTTTCTTATTAATCTTATTGCCCCACAAGTGAGTTTTATTATGAGTGAGGTCATCAACTGGCACGAACTGTGGCAGCACGTGCCAGGTTCGTGAACATCTGCCTTTTAACAGCAGACGACACATGCGCCACGTCAAACCCAGCTCTAGTGTAGAAATTTCCTTTCTTGGTCCTTTTATTTTTTGTAACATTAGTTGGGAGTATTAGTTTGGACTAACACGGAACCATCAGCAGCAAAAGGCCTCTAGGGTTTTTCTTATATCACCCCATTTCTCTGCATTATACCCGCAAACCGTGTACGGCACACGTGCACTTTTGTCAACACGTGTGCGTGAGTGCGTGAGTGCGTGAGTTTAAGTGCATTGCGTGAGTGCGTGTGCGCGAGTGCGTGTGCCTGTGTGTGAGTGTGCGCGAGTGCGTGTGCGTGAGTGCGTGAGTGCGTGAGTGCAAGTGCATTGCGTGAGTGCGTGAGTGCGTGTGCCTGAGTGTGAGTGCATGTGCGTGAGTGCGTGTGCGCTCCTCGATGTGGAGAGTAGTGGCGCGGCTCTTAGCGCACGGCGCTTCGAACCTGGCGACCTCAGTTCGATTCACGTTCATTGCCAACACCAGTGACAATTATCAGCACCATGTCGAACGCGTCTCCTAGAGGTTGACTCAGCCGTCAACTTCGTACCTGGTGCGGTAAGAAAAAGGCAGCCTGGGAACGGTGCTGGCCACCCACGCCGGCCTTCATAGGTGCTGCTCGCTAACAGCACTTGCCCAAACAGTCTGTTAAAGCTATACGGGGGGAATCTTTGCCTTTACTCGCTGGTGTGCGAGCGAGTGAGTGCGCGTGTCCTAGCCCCATTGTAATTTAGCAACGTCCATGAGCCGCGCCCCATGCGGCTGCAGTTTAATGGAAAAATAAGCTTCTCATTATCGCGCTTGAGGTGTGAAATATGAACTGCCACCCAAGCACACGCCGCACTCTCCTCCGCTCCTCCACGGTGTGCCAAGTAATTAATCTAAAGGTGACGTTACCGTTGCAAGTCGAGACAAAAACCCAGACTGGTGTACACCCAGGGTGGAAAATGGCCGTGAAGGAATCTTTTTTTTTTCTCTCTCCTCTCTTCTGGATTTTGACTCCGTGACTGAACAAAAGTGCATGTTTGGCACGAGATGTGTTGCACTCTCATGCCAAACATGCACAGTTGTATTTGAACAGCCAGAAGAGAACGAGGTGGGGGGGGGGGGGCGACGCATTGGGTGACGACCCTGGGGAAGGGTCAAGAGGTGGGCTTGCGCTGGAGGCGAGGGAGCTGGGGGGTGCGCACAGCAGCAGCAGCAGCAGCAGCGGAGCTTTTGGGGAAACATCGGCACCGCAGTGACGGGCCAGGGGGAGCAGGGAAAAACAACGGAATCATTAAGACTCGTGCAAAGACTGAGAAGTGCGCAAGGCAGCGTGGATGAAACGCACGCTTGGAATTGCGCTGGAGAGACGGAGAGAGAAACGGGTGAGATATTTACAGGCATCGTTATAAAATGGTGAAGAGAGTAAGCGGGCATGGGAAGGACATGTCGTGTGAAGATACGATGGCCGACGGTCAATAATAATTATGGAAGTGGTAGCCAAGGCATGGAACACGTCTGGGGAGACGACTGCCAAGGAGACAGAGCGATGACATCAGGTCGGGTGCAGGTACTGGGTGGTTTATTGCATCGCAGGACCAAGGAGAGATGGCAGCTTGGGTAAGTCTTCATGCGGCAGTGGATTGAGCACGACTTAACGACGACGATGATGATGACACATACGCTGAAACATTCTCACACACGTTTTGTGCGCTGCTAGAGTCACCGCTGAGTTGAGCTACAGCAGCATCAGGCAGCTAATCTGAAGGGAAATACTACAAGATAGCGTAATAACGTTCTTTGCAACAAATCCACCTCAGTGTTGGCATGGGACGTGGTGCAAGGAATGAAATAAGACTCTCTCCTGGGTTGCCCAGCCGTGTGCAGTTGCACTGCCATCGACAGCTACACCGCAGGTCCACACATCCTATGTATCCTGGCCACAAGAAGTCATTGGAGCTATGCAGATCATCACGCCAGCCACTGGAGCCAGCGTGATGGTTTTAGGAAGCCAATGGAGCTATGCACACTTTTAAATCTCGGCTGAAAACGAATTTCTTTAGAGCTGCTTTCTGTTTTTAGTTTGATGCCCTTCTGCCGCACCTCCGATTAGCGCGGTTAGCTACGTAGTACGGTGTGAAAGAAGTTCAACGTGCATAGGCGTACTTGATGCCAAGGTGTCAATTTCTTATAACTGCACTTGCAATTGGATCTGACATATCGGTCTGTTTACATGTTAGTATAAAAGTCACCCTTTACCCGTTTATGTTTCTATTGTAATTGTAAATCGCGCTATGACCAGTCTCAAAATGATTTTCCACGAGCCAACTTACACTACAGGGAGTTTATTATTTAACAGAGATTTATGTTTGTGCATTAATTTCGATTTCTCATGTGGTGACGTGGTTTTTGTACTTTATTCATTTTGCTTTCGTCACTTAGGTGACCCAGATCACTCTTACGAAGGATAAGAAACTAAACACCAAAGGCAGTTCTAAAGAAAGGATTGAGCAATGAGCGACCGCAACAGAGGGTACTCTGGGGGGGGGGGGGGAAACACGAAAGAGCAGGGGAGGGACGGAAAGGAGTGGAGGTGGCGAGGGGAGAGAAGAGAGAGGGAAGAGAATGGGAAACAGAAAAGAGGTGGAGGCTTTTAAGAGTGGAACGGAAGGCGATTACGAGTGGGACGAAGTGAGGCGGGCGGGCGGGCGGGCGGGCAGCAGGAGGGACCGAGCGGAAGGCAGCGCCACGCTACCTGCCCGATGGAGTAGTCGGAGGAGTTTGCCGCCTGCAGCCCCTCGACGCCGCTGATGCCCACGCCCACGTGCGCCGTCTGAATCATGCCCACGTCGTTGGCGCCGTCGCCCACGGCCAGCGTGATGGTCTTCACCTGCCGCTTGATCATCTCCACGATCTCAGACTTCTGCAGTGGGGACACCCTGCGAGGGCGAGGCGGCCCACCCCGCCACCCCCGAGGCGAGATGGACGCGATGAGGCCGCGAGGAGGACAGGGACGGTGGGGGGGAGGGGGGGGCGACAACGGGGAGGAGAAGGAGACAATTAAGCGTGAAAGGGGAAAGCGCGTGCGTCGATAAATGTGGAATAACAGATTAGCAGAAATCAAATCGTCTAGGCTTACCGCTTACTCTTGCCCCCCCAGGTTTAGTGGATGTAAAAACATCGAAGGAAACAGCCAATGACCGCGGCCATTTTTTTTTTTTACATTCTGCGTATGCAGTATTTATGTAACTTAACGTACGCCTTGGCGATTTTTATTCAGAAATAGCAAGCATCTGCCAACTCTCCGTAGGTGCGTTTCAACCTCGAGGCTAAGATCACAACATAGAGAGACGTGTGCGCATTAAAGACAAGCTGAATAAACCCGTCGTGTCCAAGAAAACCAAAATTGCCGACCACCTCCAGGCACGAAACCGTGAAGCCCGTGACCTCCACGTGAACCGGATTGTCCCGAAATTGACCGCTCTTCCACAATGAAAAAAAAATAACAATAAAATTGGATGAACGGGGGGGGGGGGGGGGGGGGGGGGGACGACGAATAGGGTTGGGGGGGGAGGGAAGAGGAAATGAGCAAGAAGAATGAGACGGAGAGACAGAAGCAGATGCTCCTGTCAGGTTTTGTTTTGGTTTTTTGGCGACGATGGGCGGCCGTTTGATCCTCCACCCAGCAGAAGTGCCACGGGCCCTGAGCTGTCAGCAGGAATCCCACAACTTTTCTCAGTTTCTTTTTACTTTCGTTCTATTTTCTTTTCACGTTTTTTGTGTATATATATAAAGCTTCCCTGAAGATTTTCATTGGCCGTTCCATACAGATGTAGAAATTTCGCCGAAACGAAAAGCCGAAGAGAACATTAAACAAAAACACCCAACTCTGCATTAATTACACGGAGAGCCTTCTGGAGCACGTTCAGATAACAAATGACAACGGCAACGGTGAGCAAAAGAGGTCAAACGTAGGCACGCACGTCAACCGCGCCAGAGTGTGCAAGCAAAGAAATACGGAAACACGACAGAGAAGTGTACGAAGCACACGGGGGGGGATCCGGGTCACTGCCAACAGACAGCACGAACGGGAAAAAACAATCTTGATTTGAAGCTTATGTGACTGCAGGAATCCACACTCTTTGGTTATTTCGGTAAAGCCATGGGAAAAACAACTCGAAACGTCCAGCAAAGTTCAACTCTCGCTTTAATTTCCGTACGGTTGCTCTTTTGCCAACAACAGAGAACGTAAAGACCAAATCAGGCACGCTCGATCGGTCAGATCACCGGTCGTCGAGAGCAACAATGACAAAAACGACCGGATGTGTAATTTTTTTTTACTGCTTTCCATTTTTTTTGTTTTACAGAGGTCACCAACCGGCAGCAGATGACGGACTTGCAAGAGAGGGCGAGGTCGAGGAACGAGTGGCGGAGGTCGTAGGCGAGGGCATACTTCAGCGTCTTTCCGTCCACGATAAGGGCCAGCTCGTGCTCCTGGCCCAGGTTCTCGCCCAGCGAGGTACAGTGCTGAGCCAGCGTACGCCTCGTGGCCTGCCAAGCCCAGCCCACGAGCAGAGACGGTGTCCGTCAGCGAATCATTCATTTATTCATTTTGAGTCCACCATACCGCTGATCTCGTCAAGAAGCATAAACCGTCACACAAACTGGGGTCATCCTCGCAGGAGGGGCTTTTGGCTAGCCGGTCACCGCATCGCGCGCTTTCAGATGCGCTTCTGCGGCCGTCTGGAATGCTCTTCCTTCTGATATTAGGATGCCACTGGAGCTCTGCACTTTTAAATCTACATTGATAACTAATTTATTTAGAACTGCTTTTTGTATTTAGTTTGTTGTCCTTCTCCGCACCTCCAATTAGCGCGAATGGCTACGAATGGTGCCAAAGAAGTCCAACGTACAAATGTAGTGGCCTTATTGACGTCGCAGACTGTTCACTTGAGGCAACACATTTATTACAGACGCTTAAATTACAGTGATACTGTACTGATACTTTAAGAGGTAATGGCCTCTTCACCCGTACTCTATAGAGGGAACGTTCCCCGAGCTTTAGCCCACGCTAGCTCCCTGGTTCCCTCTATCCTGGTCCTCTCTCAGGAGGCTATCTGACCTGGCCCAGCTTCGGCGCAGGTCCCGATCACCAGCCCCACGAGTCCGGCCCTCAGAAGGACGTCGGCCCTCGCGGCTCTGGTGTCACACCCTGGCTTGCTTTGCCCGGCCCTCAAAAGGACAGCGGGCCAAAGGAGTTCCAGGGTCTGGCTAGTCGATCTTCTTTCTTCACTGGCTCTTCATCTTGCTTGAGTCGAACTGCCTCTCAGCTCTAAATCATTGGCTGTGCACGACTCCTCTAAGAGACGACACCGGAGCAGACGAGCGAGGCATCGTCTGCTCTCCGCCGCATACGCAGTTTCGTGTTCCGGGTATCCGGGTGGAGACGGCCACGATCGCCGAGGTTCGAGCTGCAGCAGCCGACACCTGCACGGAGGCGGTCCGGGCATCGCCAGATCGCCCGCGGTCCTTCTAAACGTCGTTGGAGAAGTCTGCGCTACTCGCAGTCTCATCTCAGCAGCCACAAATATTGCTTGCAGTCATCACGAGTCATCCGCCAGATGGATAATTTCTTCGCCGAGCCTTTTATGAATAACCTCAATGAAACAGGTGAGGAGTAAGTATACCGAACAACAGCAGCCAAGCAACAATAAGACTGACGGTACTGCATCTCTACAAGGAGCTATAAATACTTGAGATGTGACATTAAGATTCAATGATTGAAATTGGAAGCTGGCGGTCACAATGCATGCATTGAAACATTCACGTGCTAATAGAATATGTACGATCGTTGAAAACAATATGCAAATGCTCTGTTAGCGAAACATTTAGGCTGGTCGGGCAATTCTTGAAAACAGAATCGTGATCCTGATTTGTGACTTGTCAAATTACGGGTGGGAGTGAACCATTGCACCTTTCATGAATACCAATTAAAAAGGCTGCATGCAAAACTAATTAACGCTCATAATTCACTGTTCAGACATTGTCAATATTGGGGGTAGGATCTTGCCTCTCACATCTGGCAAGCGAGCAGCAAGTGTTTCATAAGCAAGAGAATCAAAACCCAGTCCAGAGTTGTGAACTGCTTAAACAAACGTTACTGGAAAAGAATGGTCGACAGGCTGCCGGACAAGAAAATACATTTTACTTGAGCGGCGTGTTGAACTTTTCCTGCGTTTATTATTTAGTTGCAGGCAATCAGATTTAGCAGGATTAATGCGGGATATTTTTTTGTTGAAGTAATTTGAATAAAAGTTTAAATTGAAACTCCAGAGCCGTAAAGGGAAAAATCCTACAGGGGCTACTTTGGTATAATTTATTAAACCCCATATATATATAACAAATGGGTGCCAAATACCAAACACCACGTATGTGACCGACAGAGGCCTGGAAATTATCTCTGAATGAACCAAAACATGGCCTAACACCACCAGAGGCCAATCAACAAGTCCACTTGCATAACATTCAGAACACATAAAATACCTATGAATGTATAGATAAGTTTAAAATATATATTTAAACATTGCTGAACATCAGCGGAGAAAAGAGGAAAATAAAACAAAATAACCACTGTCTGAAAAATGTGTTATTTATTTTTGTTAGAAAACACACTTAAGGATTTGGAGTGGGGCTCAGAGAAAAGGCACGCCCTCGTTAGGGTTATAATTGCATTAGGCACCCCTTTTTTATTTATTTAGTCTGCACATTGACTTTCCAGGTCCCGAGGGGCCAGCTTATTGCATTTAAGGACGGAGCGAGAGGCAGGCGGTGCACTATTAGAGTAAATTACTGTGTGACGCTGCACACTGCCACTCACACGCAACCCAGATGGGGTGGCTGAGAGCGATTACAAAACTATCCGAGAAATGATTCAATGTTTTAAGAAATTTTTGAAAATAAGGATACGTATTATGCAATTAGCTCCCGCGAAGGAACGCGGCCGGCTCTATTTTGCCCCCCATCCCATCAGCGGCGATGACGAAATGGGATCACACTCACGTCCAGCGTTTCCTCGTTGACAATGAGCACTGACATGTTCTGTGACAGCAGCTTGCAGGCGTAGCCTTTCGGACGACAAAACCACAGGAAGACAACAACAACAAATGCCATTCGCGACTAAGTGGTGGTGACGTCACAACGGCGCTTGTGCCAGGCCACATGAAAGTGTCAAACGCCCGCTGGCAGGAGGTCACGGGACAGACACCGGGTGCCACGGGTTGACTGAGACAGGAAGACGTGCGTGCAACAACAACAACCGCCATTCGCCACTAAGTGGCGGTGACGTCACCACGACGCTTGTGCCAGGCTATGTGCACCTTGAGGCCACGTGAAGTGTCGAACGCCCGCTGGCAGGAGGTCACGGGGCAGACCCAGGTGCCACGGGTCGACTGACTGAGATGACTGGCTGATGCACCACCTGTGCCCCTTTCTGTGCCAACTTGCTGTGCTTTCGCCACCCGGCGCTCCGCTGATCTTGACACCGCTGGTACCAGTCATCGGCAAGTCCACTCAGCTCCACATCCTCCTGTACCACATCACTCCATCGTTTCTCTAGCCCGTGCCGCGCCCGTTTAGCCCTCTCAATCCAGCGTAGCAAAAGCTGTTTAGGCATGCGGTGGCTGGGCATGCGGGCTACATGACCCAGCCAACGCAGCCTTGCCTGCCGGAGGAGCTCACCGATTGGACTTTGTCCAGATCTTTCAAGGATATGTGAGCTCCTCACACAATCCAGCCTGGTTAAACCCAAGATGGATCATAGGCAGGCCAGCCTAAATGTTTCTAACCAGCGAAGATGTTCCATTAGGGGGGTCCACGTTTCGCAAGCGTAGAGAAGGGAGGGAATGACTGTGGCCGAGAAGACCTGAAGCTTCGTGCGGAGTGACAGACCAGGTAGCTTCCACACAGCATTACGCAACCGATGAAGAGATAATGCTGCTCGACCGATTCGGAGTGAGACCTCTGCTGTCAAACCAGAGCCGGTCATGAGCACACTGCCCAGGTATGGGAAACTCTCCACCTCTCTCCACAACTGCCCTATCACCAATTGGGAGTTGTGGGGGTGGAGTGTACGATGGTACAAAATACCCTCCAACTCCTCCTCTGAGTGAGCTGCAATTACCAGATCATCAGCATACATAACATGGTTGAGCAATAGGGAGCCATCCCTTGACCGCACCCGGGCATCGATCAGCCTCCCATTGTATCTGCACCAGATGGAAATTCTTCCGGTACAGCTATTGAAGGCTTCACAAACTACGTGGTCGAAATAGATGTTAAATAATGTGAGAGCCAGAGGACATCCCTGTTGCACCCCAAAGTGAACAGGGAATGGCTCCGACTCCTGGCCACGTAGTTTTACCCAGGCCAGCTCACCATCATGAAGGTCCTTAATGATCGTGAGCAGCGGGTCAGGGACTCCGAAAGCACGAAGAACAACCCAGAGCCCAGGCCTACTGATGGTATCATAGACCTTGACTGGGTCAATAAAGCAGAGATGTAGGTCTTGTTGGAATTCCCTACACCTCTGCTGTCGCAAACGGACAGAAAATATGGCATCTGTGCAGGACTGCCCTTTCCTGAAACCACATTGGGGCTCCGCAAGCCTCTCCTCAGCGTGCCTGGCAAGGCGATGTTCAATAATCCTTGCCAGGACCTTTCCCGGCACACTGAGGAGTGAGATGCCCTGTCGTTGTTAGTCTGTGCGGTCCCCCTTCTTAAAGAGGGGGACCACCAGGGCATCCTTCCAATCCTGCGGAACCTTTACAGTGGTCCAGACTGTTGTTATGCCATGTAGGGCAGTCTGTGCGCAAACTGCCACCCTCCCTCAGCATTTCACTTGGGAGATCATCTCTGCCCGGTGCCTTTCCTGGTCTCAGGCTCTGGATCGCCTTCAGCACTTCCTCAACAGATGGCACCTCAGCCAACCACTCACAGGGGGTGACTTCCACAGTCCTAAACCTCGCCCATTTCCCCTCGACATCAGGAGGAGTGGGGGACGATGCCAACCCCAGCCGCAAGCGATGATGAAATTATCACTTGCAACTTTCATCAGCTAGCTGAGACCATGCCACTGTGGGTTTGAATGGGGTCCTGGGTGTATACTTGGGCATTGAAGTCACCCAACAAGAAGACTCTATCCCAAGGGGCCACGTTAGCCAGCACCTGTGACAGGAGGTCATAGAAGGCATCCGACTCATCGGCCTTGCCTGCATCCCTCCACGGATGTTCGTCTTCAGTGGGGGCATAAGTAACCACGACCACCATTCTTTGCCTCTGGTTAATGGGAAGGCGAGCCCAAAGTAGCCTGGGGCTTACAGCTTCCCACACCTCCACCGCCACGCTCACACGGCCCCTTCATTCTTTTGTTCACAAGAAGAGCCACTCCCTGTTGTTTGGCAGTCTCCTGCCCCGAATAGAGGACTGTCCATCCCTCATAGTGGCAGGAACCAGAGCCGGTCCACCGGACCTCCTGAATACCACAGAGATCCAGGCGGTACCGGTCCAGATCCCAACAGAGAAGTGGCTGTCCGAAGTGTTTTTTTGTTGTTTCTGGTGGAGCCCCGAGGATAAGGATTCAGTCTCCTGGCTCCGCCAAATGGGGTTTGGCCAGGAGACGTCATAGACACCTGTTCCCCCGGGGCCTCCGGCACAAGCTTAATACGTTTTTTACATCATAGTTTAGTGGTAGTTAATTGAAGGTGGAGGGGTTACCAGCCCCTCGCACCCATCCAGAGCCCCAATTTGCACGCTGTGGTGGTTACAAATGCCATAAAGGGAAAGGCCCATCTAAATTGGCCCTCCCCCCCACGGCACTGCCCACCAAAGCATTGCCGTCCGGCACCATGAGGAGGTAGGGGTTTTTTTTTTGCACGTGCACACACCGTGTGACATGCAGCGGGTTAGCTCGCCACGCTCTTCTCCGCATGGAAAAAAAAAACACAATCGACGCCACAACCATTGGAAAACGAACGTGAAGCCCCGCGCGCATCTCAATCTGGCTCCATTCCATCAAGGTATTGCAAATCCAGTCCACATTTTACGCCGCACCAGTGCGCGCTGACAAGCAGATCTGCCGCCCATTCTGAAAACAAACACGTCATCCAATCTGATTATTCATAGCATCATAAGTTATGTGCCCCTTGTTTTGTAATGCCAACAAATACATAGAGGCTGAACAGACGGAGTGGGTGTATGTCCGCTTGGAATGGATACCAACTTACAGCTATAAAAAATCTGTGCATTTAATTGATCCATCCAAAACTTGTTCCTCCGCTGTGGGTGGTAATAACGCACCCAATCCCACGTGTATGACAATCACGTAGACTGTTTTCCTTTGGTTCGAAATTACATGGCCATTTTTGGATGGATTCAAAATCGTCGCAGCGCTGCCACGGTGTAACATCTGGCCAGCGTGGAAGAGTAGGCCAAATACCCTCTTGGAGGGGCTCTCAAGGGCTCTCTGTAGCGGAGCCCCTTCTTCTGCCAGTGTTGCTGTGAGCACGCAATTGCAGAGTCGGACCTTCACTTCAACCCGGAAATCTTAGCAAGAAGACATCACATGGACAGATTTGAGAGGTAAAGAAAAAAAAAACACAAAAAAGGGAGCTCTATTTCTGTTTCTCATTTGACTGTGCATTCAGGTAATAGATAATAGAACAAAACGCTCACTAGATTGCGTTATGAACAAATGCTTTCAAATTCCCTTGTCGGAAGTGTGTTCAGTGGTCTGTAAGAGCTGCAAGGAACAAATTCCCTGCTAATCAAAGGCAAACGTGACCCATCTAAACCATTTACGTCCATTGCACATTCAATTATTTCTGTTAGAACTACTGCATATCTTGTTTCAGCTATTAAAGCCATTTTCGTAGGCCTTTAACATTTACGGGAAAAAAATGGTCTTAGGAGCAACCTACTGGCATATGGGCCGAATTCCTTGGAGGGAATGTTGGCAGCTGTCCAGTTAAAGGTTCAACAATTTACATGCCTTCAAAAATGCATTTCTGCTAAAAAGCCACAATGAGCATTTGGTCATAATCGTGACCTTTTCAACAACAAGCAAACCAAAACTATATCAAGTCATCAGCAGCATCTTAAGGATATTACATCATGCTGGTTTCAAGGCTGTGTGTTTTTCTGGTGAATAAACTTTTCCTCTTGTCACCATGCATTACGCAGTAGGAAAAGAGCAATAGGTTATACACTGCGACTTGTGTTACATGACAGAGATTAAGCTGCAATTGATTACATAAACACAGCTTTTCTGGTGACATTTACACTCTTCCCATTATGTTTTGTTCGTTTTAACAACATGTGTACATCTCTGAGTCCGTAGTTTTGTAGATGCCCTCTATAAAAAAAAAACAGTTCACAAATAGCAATGTTGAACTTTACTCCTGGGTATGCGTCACTGGCTGTGCCTTTAACATAAGGACTAGCAAATGTGTTTCGGGCGAGTGGGTAAAGAATCTGCCAGATTTTGATGTCGGCAATCAGCGCTGTACCAATGTTGATCGCGGTCTCCTGTTTGTCTCCCGTGAGCACCCAGATCTTGATGTCAGCCCGTCGGAGCGTGGCAATCGTCTCTGGGACCCCGGGTTGTAACTTGTCCTCAATGGCCGTGGCTCCCAATAGGTGCAGGTTCTGCATATACCAGCACACAAGTACACACACACACACAATCAATTCATTCATCAGCTGTATAGATTGTTCGAAAGAAGAGATAACCGATTTAAAACGCTTCTGAGTTGCCACACCACTGGCTACACTTGCTCTCTCCGTAGTGCTGACATTGACTGGCACACTAAACCCATTTTAAGCTTCATCAATCTAGGGCAGGCCCGGCCAATGTTCAGGTTAAAATCGTCACTGAAGTTGTGCACAAATGAAGAAAAACACTCTGCGTCAATTGAATTACAGTGCATTGCAACGCCACCCACTCCAGCAGCACGCCCCTTAAAGCATGAACACAAACGCAAGCAGGTATACCAACATGCACACACACACAAACCACGAGCTTGCACGTGCTCACACAGAGGAACGGACACACGTAACGATTTTCTTTTAATATTGGAGAGGCTGATGGCGCAGGTGCTTTTATCTGGCAACTTTTATTACTGGCACAGAAGGGGAGGGAGCGGTGGTGGCCAGCTTCAAATCCTTTTTTTGTTTGCCTCCCCAGAACGAGTGTTTCGGTAACTGCACCAGGTACTCATTTTAGAACGTCGCCCTTCGGGAAGCTTACAGCAAGACCAAATGGCAGCAAGATAGCGATAAGCGGTGCTAAGAGCCGACCCGTGATCACTGGCATTGTCGTGAAACGCACTAATTGGTACACCGCTGCGTCGCGGTGGCATTTACAAAGACCGTGGTGCGGTATTTTCAAGACCACGACCGGGCGGCCTGCCTGCCAACCGCGCTCATCCTGCGTGGGACGGGAAGATTCCCATTCGTCACGTGGAGCGAAGGGCGCGGCCATGGGATCGCTTAATCCCCGCCGTGCTGCGAGCTTCGATAAACGAGTTCCGCCGAAACACACACAACACGGGTGGGGGGGAGAGCGACGCGTTGCGTACGAAAGCGAACCCGTGAAAAGCTAACGGAGGACTCTGGGAGGATTCTAAGCCCGCCGAGGTTCTGCCTCGTGCTTTATAAGAGATGCCCCCCCCCTCGTGCGCCTGGCACGCGTTCACTCGCCGGCATGCAGGAAGTCACGGTTCGTGCGAGCGGGCCACGTGCAAGAGTTTTTCGCCCACGATGAGGGGGAAATTTGAATCAGTGGGGCTGAAGGAATGGACTAAAAAAAGAAACTTTTCTAAATTCCCCTTGTTTATTTTATTTCTTATTTGATTGTGAATTATTATAATAATTACACTTGTTGGTTTTCGTGCGTCACCACTTCACGCCTGGCGTGCACGCCATCCTCCTTCGTGCCGGGTGGCTGACATCTGGTGGGGCTTTGTTTGGGGTCGGGTGAAATTTCATCCGACTTTGCAGCTGTTCCAGTAGAGTGTTTGGATTGGATTCCTCCCAACACTGGACTGATCTCACTTTCTCAATTTTATTTCCCCCCCGCCCTCTTTCTTGATTTATTAATTCGACAAAAAAGACGTTTTTTTATCCATTGTCTCTGTGGTGTTTTTCAAGCATTTTTAAAATATATATGATATCAACGTGTGCCTCAAACATTCCCAGAGTCTCTTTTGCCCTTATATACGAATTGAGTTCCGTGCTAGCACAAGCTTCCTTTGTTATTCGCTCTCTCGGTCACGTGAGAGTTTCCTGCGTCTTCCGCCAAAAAAACCTGAAGCTTCAGGCAAAATTCCCCCACCACCCCCCCCCCCTTACTTTTTATTTTTAGAAGAAAAAAAAGTAGAAACCTCATTATGACCAAAATTTATTTTAATTAGGAACGTCAGCCTTCTGAATAGACGAGTTTGTGCTGGGTACGTACAGCTCCCCCTTATTCGGCTTTGCCAACATCACATGTTTAACAGGCCTGCCAAATTGGAGGGTTGTTTACACTTGACTTTGAAGAAAATTGAGTTAAATTAACGGAGCGCCTTTTTGGACGGCAGAGCTGAGCAGAACCCACAGCCATCCTAAGGGTGGCTTCTCAGCGTCACCACGAAGACCCGAAAATGTTACTAGAAAGCGGCAGCAGTGCGTCCATGATTTAAATTGTAAAATAAAATAAAAATTCAGTTCCCAAAACCTGATTGTACAATGCATCTATGTTATAGCAGACGTACAGAAGCAACCTGATCCATAGACTGCACTTCAAAGGCATGCTGGTCACGGCCGTCTGCGGTCTCTTTGAAATCATTATGCAGGGGGTTGTTCTGGCTGATGGAGATTTTCATCGCCTGTTGACAATGTTTTCCCTTCACGCAGGGCTATGTTGAGCCACACGGGCGGCGTGTTTACAGGAATGGAATGCTTTTGTGTCAGGAAATATCGGTTACTCTCAGTGATTAATTTAGCCACGGTGCTGAAGAACCTTGCCGAGATTAGATGAAAACCAATGTGGGGTTCTTTCAATGAATGATAGGGGTCAGGGCTAAATGCTCAAAACTAAATGTGTTGTTGGCTCATGATATCTCTGCCACCAAAGCGGGCAGTAGGTAAATACTACACGTGGATCGTGGTCGTATATTCCAAGTACTAAAGCGTACCCCATGGCTTTGGGTCACGTGTAACCAAAATTATAACCTGATAAATCAAGCAAGAAACTGAAATGCCATCAAGCAGTAATACAAACAAAACGTTGACCCAAAAAAAAGATTCTTCCCCATGAGAAAATAAACCTCAAAACATCAGTGTGTCTGGCCAAGTACCTACTCAGTAATGAAATCTTTGATCTCTCAATGTGGGTATTTGTTTCGTGAGCTACACTTGGGTAAAATCTAAAGTCCTTAATGCAGGGGCTTTTATTTCTATTCTCCTGGCGCCGCCGTGGCTTCTGTGCCTTTGCCAGCGTTCGCTCGTGTGCCCTCGTCCCTCCTGCCCACGCGCGCGGTGGATGATCTGAGGTCTGCACGACGTGGTCTGACATCCCATTATTCTCACCAAGTGGAAGGGCAACAAGCCCCCTTTCAAAAAAAGCCCTCTCATAGCCACGTCATCCGTGGCCACTGAGAAGTAGAGCCGGTTCGGTTTCGAGAACCGGACTCAGCCCAGATTCCCGTGGCAGCCTCGCCAGGGCGACCCAAATCAGTGTTCAGGGCCCGTGCTTTGCTCTCTTTTGTAAGGGAGCCGCCGCCGCACGCATTTTTCACCCGGGCCGCACTCGTGGGGACAACGACAACGTCTGCGCTTCCCACCGTCACCAATCTGCACTGACCAGCATGGTGAATTATGGTTAAATAACCCACCACAACCAGCGCTACGAAGGGAGGCCCTCGTCTGGCAGTGTATAGCCGAAAGGGCTGTACATGATGTGGTATACATAATAAATATGTAAAAACATGTGTTTTGAGAGTAAATATAACAATTTTCCCATGTAAACAATATTTTTTGCCAAAGGCTAATTAAAAAAACCATGCCGGTAACGAATCTCACCCCTAGCCAAGCTGTCACGGTGTATTTAAATTCCACATTGAATCACAGGCCTCCTACGGCGAGGGAGATTCTCACTCCAAACGAGCAGCTGTTGGCTATGAGAAGCTCGCCACCTCGTGGGCAGAGCCGAAAGTGCTTCTGTGCCAAAGCAGAGAAGTTAGACGGGGGGGGGGGGGGGGGTGTGCCAAGCGACCAAGCTCTGAGAGAGTGAGCTGCACAGAGCCGTGTGCAGTGGTGCGGCGATTGGGTGGTGGAGCGGTGTAGCGGTGGTGGAGCGGTGGTGCAGCGGTGGTGCAGCGGTGGTGGCAGCGGTGGTGGCACCTTCTCGATGAGCTCGTAGGCCTCGTCCAACTTGACGGCGCGGTCCTGCAGCGCGGTGCTAGCGCGTCGGTACTCCTCCAGCCAGTCGCCGTACTCGTCCTCCGACAGGTCCGCCGACGCGAAGCACAAGGTGCGCAGGCCTGCCGCAGACGCGGCACAGCACGCCTCCACGCTTACCGCCGTACGACACGACCTCGTGGTCATCGAATTAAGATTAATTTGGTTTACCGCACGGCGGTCGCGGCAAGGGTGATTATTGGCCGGGCGCCGAGTTGGCAAACCATCGGAACAATGTCATTTAGTGCTTGGCTGGGTGATCACGACGAGCAACGGGACGGGTGCTTGAGGCGTCTCATCCACACTCGCGGATGTTGTGGGCGGCAGAAAGTAGTGCGGCACTATTTGCTGTACCGCCGCACTGCCTTCTGTGCTGCTGCACTGTACTTCTATGTTCCAACGTCTCCCCACTGTCAACAAACCGCACCAACCAGCGTGGTGAAATAAGCCCCATGATAGCACAGAGCCTCAAATGAGTCGCTGGTGCGATGTGAAAACATCGCCACTTTGGAGACAAAGGCGGCCGGACGTGGTGCTGGCCACCCACCCCTTCGTGTGCCTTGCAGGTCTTCATAGGTGCTCGCTAACAGCACTTGCCACAACGGTATGTTAAGGCTATACGGGGGATCTTTGTCTTTGTTTGTCTTTGTTACCTCAAAAAGCCTCACTTAGTCTTAAGACGTTTTTAGGAGGGTTCTGCGTTGGGATATTTGGCCAAACCTTTAAAGAGTGATCGTTTTTCATGTGTAGGGAAACCAGCCATATGAGGATATAATAATGAAAGTTCCACTATGAAAAATGTACAACCTATTTGATGCACTGCCACCTCCTGCCCACCTCGGCCCAGTGGGTTTGGGAATCCTAAATATGCGCGACTTTGACCAACCTTAATGTCCGGAGTACTGGGTTAAAGGCATACACCACCTTTGGTTTAACTATTATAATTCGTATTAAAATCTGCATATATATATATACACAATATGATACTATGCCATTGTGACAAGGTGATATCCAGATTGCTAGAAATACAATGAACTCTTCGTTCGCGTGACGTTGCTGAACACGTGACGCGTATTCTCACAATGTAACCACAGTGCCCATGGTTACGTCAACTGCGCCGAATACGACAGTGCTTACCCTCGGAGGCGAACAGCTCCAGGTGCTGGAGGGTGTCCTCCTTGTACAACGAGTTATTCGCTAGGCGCTCGTATATAGCGTTATCCTGCAAGGTGAACAACAACAAACAACGACAAAAGGGAGATGGTACAACGCTGGAACACGTTCACATTTGAGTTATCTTCCCCACACGATCCTACGCTGCAGAACTTCCCGCCTCCACCTGCGCAACATCTCCCGAGCTGCTCTATTTCCTTATCCCAGGTGCCACCGAGACCCTCATCAATGCCTCCCCTCACGTCCCGTCTGGACGACCGCAACTCTCTCCTCCACAATCTCCCCCCACAAACATCTCACCTCTAAACTCCATTTGATCAAAAACGCCGCTGCTGCTGCTGCTCAACCACACTCGTTAACGTGACCGCGCCAACCCCCCCCCCCGACGCTTCAATCACTGCCCTGGCTGTCAAATGCAATATCGATTCTCGGATCAACATCAACATCAAACTGCACCATCTACGAGATCCTCCACGGGCTCGCCCCTACCTACCACGCGCCCGCTTCTCACCTCGCTCGACTGCTTCGGTTGTGGCACTTCTTCCCCCGCCACCAGCGCCATTCTCTGCTACAGCAACCAAGGCTCATTGCCAAAGACACCGCCACTGACCCCCCGCGATGTAACCGTCGCTCAGTGGGAGATCACTGTTTTTCTCCTGTTCCCTCCCCCCCATTGTCCAGAACCACTTTCGTTCAGTCATCTGTGCTGCTGGCTCCCTGTTTCCGTTCAAGTCCAGGCTCAAGACTCCCCTATTTCCCTCTGCCTCCCAACTAACTGTCTATTATCTAAATATCCGCACCGTTTCTGCGGAGCATCTTGAGACGCGTTCACAATGAGATGCTGCACAAATGCACAGTGCGCCGCGTCGAACTAAAGGCGGCGTGCCGTAGGAAAGGGCTGTTGCCAGACTCACGGCTCCTTTGCAGTAAAGACGAAGCTTTCCGGACGGGGTCCTCACGATCACAGACATGCGGCGCCGCACGCTGCCCGGAAAACAAAGCACACAGCAAGGGAAAATCATTCGTTCACTCACTCACCGACCGACTCCTTCGTTATCGGTAATATAATAGCTGCCCTTTAGAATTGGATACATATGGGAGTTTGCTTCACCGTGTGTACCATATATATGTACACCTGTGAAAGAGAGCTTTATAGCTCATCGGATGCCTCCAGCATAAATATTCCCATTCCGATGTACGCATTGCATGCAGGTACGCACGTACGTATGCGTGTGAACGCGGAAACGGCGGTGCAGTGGCCAGGGCACTGTGCTACGAACCCTACGACCCGAGTTTGATTCCCACAGCCACTGCTAACATCAGCAGTAGTGGTCTTTGAATTAGCCTTGGATCTCCCCGAGGTCTACTCAGCCTTAAATGGCTGTTGCGTTGCGTGTAAACATCGGCGCTGGGGCGATAAAAAGAGAATCAGAATGGTTCTAACCGTACCACCTCCTTCGTGTGCTGTGCCGTCCTTAATCACTTGCTTGCTAACAGCACTTGCACTCGAGTCTGTGGAGGCTAAACGGGGGACCCTCTTTGTCGCGTGCGTGCGTGCACTGCATTACAATAGATGCACGTAACGGATGTGTACGCACATTGCGAGGGTTCTGCACCCGTACCTTGTAAACTCGAGCACATGCAGCAGCTCAAAGTTCTGTTCCTGCCCCAGCTGCAAAAGCAAATAAAACAATAATGAATGCACAGTCAACTCTCAGAATACACAATGACAATAATCCTTCCGCTTGAGCCAATGGAATGTTTGGGGGGGGGGGGAAATAAGCATTTATGTATATCGATCAGACATCTGTCACGAAGCTATTGCCATAAACAAACTTTAGACATTGTAAGTGCCCATGTGATACGAGCATTTCCTGATTATGCGCGTGTGAATCCTGAGCGTATAAACAATGTCATACAAGACTAACGTATGCAGCATCACAGAGTCAGAGAAACAACACCACCATTGAGAATACACACATTCCACATACACTATTGTAATAATGATCCACCCAAAAAGATAGAACACGCCCGAGAGGACCTCAAGCGTGAAGACGGAGCTATACACTCGGCTAGCGTTGCAAATGCGTGACGGATCGTCGTAGCGTCACAAGATGGTGGTTTACGGGGAGCGGAGATCCTTCATCGGGCAATCGATTGATCATTTATGATTGATAGCCAACCAATGATCACGGTTGGCTACATCCGGTGGGCGAAACAAGTTCGGCATGCATCCGTGCGAAAAATGCACACATTCTACCCAGTAGTACCCCCCGCCGTCGCCTCGCCCTAGCCCCCTGCTCACAGCGTCGATGACGACCATGTTTGGAGTCCGCACGGTGAAGGTGAAGCCCAGACTTCGGGCGGCTCGCACCAGCGCCCCCTCGTCTGCAACACGGGAGCCACGGACAAAGCACCACGGTCGTATCGCTCTGCGGGCAGCGCGACTGCAGAATCAGCATCTTTATTTATACTGGAGGAATCCGATGAGCTGTCGAAAAAGAGCTTTACAGCTCAGTAGGCGGCACGGGGTCAGAACGTTTCAAAAGCAGACAATGCAAACACGCGACAGGGAGTGCAAAGTATTGGAAAGGAAAGTAAATCACTAAAAGATTTAAATAAGCATTTTATTTTTATTTTACCAGGTAAAGCCCACCGATGTATTAGCTTATTTTTCAGAAGCGACCTGGCCACACATGATATCTCAACGAAGCGGCGCATCATGTGGAAACTGAAAGCAGCCAAACAATCGAAATAATCTCGATGCATGTTGTGATGTTGTGCGCACGAAGAAAACGAAATGTGGACGATCGCGTTAAGTGGGAGCAGAAATGTTCCGACTATCAGCTAATGTACAAAAATTTTAATGTTGATCGCAGAGTTGGATTATGTTTTAATTATTCCGAGTTAATCTTTTTTATTTTAATCATTTGTTTGCCGCGTGTTTCATCCGTTCCCGAAATGTGTTTGCAAAAGGGGGCTGTGCACGTACAGATAATGCTATTCACAGAAAGCTTGACAAAAACCTTCCATAGGCCTATACCGCATTGTGGTGCTTGGGCATCGAAAAAAAAAGTAAATTTCAGGTGCTAATTGTACAGTACAGTAGGCTGCAGGTGTTTGACTGCGGCATTGAGCTGCTTGTGAGTGTACAGTTGGTCTCTTGATCCCTCATTTACAATGGACACAGAAGACAATGGTGTGCACTTTGTCAACGTTGCAACACGGCTGGACATAAGAGGTCAAACTTTTTTTCTGGCCAAGGGTCAAACTAAACACCGGTGTTTGCGTGTCACGCAAGTGAAACTGGTTCTCAGTGAAACCCAACTCCAGTAGTGGACAAAAGATTGACTGAGTGAAACGATGAATACCCTGGTGTTTAACGAACACCAAATCCGTCACACAAATACGTGGCACTCTTAAGGATGGCACTCCGAGAAATGCTGTGTGGTCTGTAGAATTATATTTTAAATATATGGAAAGTTTAATGTGAAGATATTATGTTCAAGTAAAGGATACCTTCCACGTGTTAAAAAAGTGAATCAAATTACTAGAACATTAATTTTAAGATTATATTCACCGGTGTAACCATGACGCACACTGGCTGTAACAGGTCATGCAGTGGCCATGAATTACCATGAATGGATTATTGAGAGCAGGGGTGGGGACCCTACAGACCACGAACCGGAAATGTCCCACAAATTCTTCTTCTTAATTAATGTCTCGAGGCTACATGAGGCCTAACACTTTAAAACAGCATCCCCCCCCCCCCCCACCCCCAAAAGATTTTAAATCCATCATAGCAAGCATCGTAAAAACAATAATTGGGTACTAAAGGCGAATATTTTCAACTTAACCACACTGTGTTTTTTAATTTTGCATGCCATGATGGGCCTCCTGCAGGGACAGTAGTCACCAAGGTCAAGGTCCAGGTCACTCTTGCAAATGAAACTATCCCGGTCTCTTGAGCTCCCACTTGGTTGAACAAAATAAACTTGAACGTGTGCTGCGTGTTAATGTGCGGCGCACCCACCAAAGGTAATTGAAAATCCTATTTGGCCCGCAGCAAGGCACAGGCAGGTTCCACCACCCCCCCATAACCGCCGATTTATATTCTTCCGGTGAGAAGCGAAGGTCGTCCTCTTACCGGGCGAGGAGGCTTGATAAACGATCGAGCCATCCTCCGCTTCCGGCACAGCCGTGTGACACACGGACATCATGACGAGGAATTCGTAGATGACCCCAGCCGACGGCTGACAGGACAGATGACGTGGAAATCAAATTTTTATTTTTACGCCATAATTACAATTCCACGGGCCTAAATGTTTATGTTTGAGAAGTGTTTTCATTTTTTGCACAAAAAATAAGTAAACAAACTTTTGGTAGCAACAACACCCACATGGCAAATTATGTGATGGTAATCAATGTTATGAAACTGTTATTTTTACAAAAAACCACAACAATAATAACGCTTGTCCTTTTAAACACATTTCTTTCACCAATGTTTCACGGCTCACATGATTGCTGTGGAGATTTTGCAGCAAAGCTGGGTCCTGAAATCCCACTTCTGATGGTTCTTCGTTATGCCTTGGAATAAACAAGTACAATTTTCAATCCACCCTCCATGTGATTGAAAAAAATAAACATGATAACGACCAGTCAGACAAAAATAAACTATTGATGTCCACAACTTACCCATAAGCGATGCCGGCCACTGTGGCTTTCTTGAACTCCATGACATTGCAGGTTAGTGTGCCGGTTTTGTCCGAGAAGATGTATTTTACCTGCGAAGATTAGAGATTGCCAAAATTCAACTCACCGAACTCATGGTAAAAAAAAAAAAACCAGACCAACAAAAAGAGGAAATGACAGCTCAATGAATTTGCGTTTTTTTTGTGTATGACAATAACAGTAAAATTTCGTGAGTTAGTCCAACAAAGGTCATGCTCGTTATGATGACAATGAAGAATGCCTGAGATGAAGTCACTGTGTGCCCTACCTGTCCCAGCTCCTCGTTCAGGTTGGATGTGCGAGCCATGGCATTTGTGTTGCTTTCCTCGTGGTACATCTCCGAATCCTGTGGGCACACCAACAGCAAGAGTCCGACAAATGACGCCACTTTCCCCTAAGTTGAACTCGTACCGTGACACGCTACTGCTAGACACGTTAATTTTTCCATTGAGATATCCCGTCTATGTGGCGCTGAATCAGATACAATTTATATACGTTTTAAATTGGCGTTAATAATAACAATACACATTTTATTTATCCAGGATAAACAAAGAACACCTTAAGACTCTTTTTCAGGAGGGTCATCATGAAATTTGGCCAATTCTATGAAAAAGTATTTGGTGCGTGGGAGGAAAATGGAGTCATCGGAGATAACCGATGCACACTGGGGGGAAAACACAAATCTCCGCACAGATGGATTCAATCGACTTGCTGTACTACCATATCTCGGCCATCTCGCAGCTCCTCAGACGTGTGTGATCAACCATCCCTCGCCTTCCAAAAGGGTCGGATTCGAGGCGTGAGCCACCCACAAAGCGTATTAAATTGATAGATTATAAATACTAAAATTAGCTTTTTTTGACACTCGGGGTTCGTTTGGCAAAGCTGACGGTGCAAACAACTGTAGCGCAGCAGAGTGAGCAGGTGCATACCCAGTTGATGAAGAAGGCCTGTATGAACTTGACAACCTCCAGGGTCACCAGGAGGCTTATGGGAATCAGGTTATTGTAGAGGATAATGAAGGTCAAAAAGTTGAAGCCAAAGTTTGACGGTGCATTATCTAAGATTAAAAAAACACACACAAAAAACAAGTTAGGTTAATGTTTATAAAATCACATTGGCTTACTGTTGAAGAAAAAAAACAGAGCATGAATCGACAATGATCAGTCAAAAATAAACCAATGTTTTCTACCCAACCCTATTAAACTTGGCAATCATGCCCATCAATCCCCATAAGCCGACACACCCATCGTGGTGCCCTGCCAAGCCCTTTGAGTTAACACCTAAACTGTATTATCACGCTCCCAATGCCCGTACGTTTACCAAATAAGACGCCTAGAAATTACCTCTCATAAATCCTCATATTCCATCACGACATCTCAAAAGCTCTACAGAAACAAACATAACCAGCCATGACAGCCAAAATAACCGTAGCCCCGGCAAAACCCATTACGCCGCTATTTTCCACGTTTCGTAAATAGTCTTCATCCATCATGGCACTCCAGAAGCTTCACTCTCCCGGCAATCTTCTGGGGCGGCAAAAAGGGGTGACACACATTTAACCCGATCACCGCACCCGCATTTGTGCACCCAAAAATCTGACCTCGGAACCCCAGGTACCAGTCCCCTTTCCAGTGTGCCGAGGTCCAGATGGAGGAGCCAATGGCACTGGCCAGGGCCATGAGCAGAAGTGTCACCACCAGCAGCAGGATCTGCAGGTTCGTCACGCGGTCCACGTTGGAGCGCTTGAGTGGCGCGCGAGTAGAGTTCTGAGGTGTAGAAAGACAAGAGGAGGTGTTTGACCACGCACGTTTCGCATCCGTTCGTAATCCAAGTGGTCTTCCCGGGTGAGGCCATCTTTTGAGCATTTTGTCTGTTAAGCTTCACCACACATAAAGACAAAGATCCGCCGTATAGCCTTAACAGACTGTTGAGACAAGTGCTGTTAGCGAGCACCTATGAAGGCCGGCATGGTACACTAGGGGGTGGATGGTCAGCACTACACCCGGCCCCCTTTGTCTCCCAATGTGGCGATGATTACACACCACACTAGGTACACATTTGAGGCCGAGTCGACTTAGGGGAGGCCCGGAACAGGTTCAGATATTTGCTACTGGTGTTGGCCGTGAGCGGGAATGGAGCTCGAGTTGACAGGTTCGTAGCGTAGTGCACCAACTACGACACTTTCGCTCCCCACACAAACACTACCACAGGCATCTTCAGGAGATGAAGATACCCGCAGTCGTGCATGGCAAAAGTTTCAGAAAAAATACCCAACACGCAACCTAACAAAATACTCATTCATGAAATTGGCCCAACATCCCAATGCAGGGCCCTCACAAAAAAGAGTTTACTATAGGTTACTATAGGCCGTGGCACTCTGGTTGACCCCAGAGGACACGTGACCGGTTAAGTCTACACAGGGCCCCCAAGTGGGGGCTAGGGGTGGTCACGTGTCAGGGTCGAGATCCTGCTCGAGGATTCTGGAAGGTGGTCGTGGCTAAGGGCGGGGCCAGCCACGCCACAGAGGATATAAGCCGGGTGCCCCAGAGGGACCGGCTGCTGCTGCTGTTCATCCTGAAGAATCTACTTTCCACAGAGTCACACGTGGACCTGGACCCAAGCTGTGGTCCGGTCCGTTGTAGCGAGTTACGTTGTAATTAGCGTAGTTAGCCTGGTGGTCCACCACCATAGGTTGTTATCTTGTTCAGGGGTATTAATAAATGTGTTGCCTCCAAGAAGTGCGTCTGCGACTCAGTTGAACTCACTACACTTGTATTTACGCATGAATGAATGCCTGCTTATTTGAAGCGGTAAACATTGCTTTACCAGGTGAGAATCAAATGAGGATGTCTTCAAATTTCAAATGTGCTGAGTAGCATGCAACACGTGTGCTGTACCTGCATGAGCTTAGTGTCGTGGCCTGTATACACCACAACGCCAAACACCCACTGGGTATTGCGCAGCTGGGCTCCTCTCAGTAAGATCTGGTCTGGGCCCAGTGGCACCGTGCTGTTCAAAGACAAAGATCCCCCGTAGAGTCTCGGGAATTGAACTCGGGTCGTTGAGTTCCAAGCGCAGCACGCTAACAGCTGCACTACTGCTCCCCATTCACACACCCCCAAGTACAAATCGCATCATCTCCATCAGTCGTAACCATCGTAACCTTATCAATCAATCGCAGCCAATAACACTAACAATTAAACTATATTTACATATGAAGAAAATGTATTCCCTTTCTACCACACGTTCTTTTTATGGGTCTGGCAGTAGCATCTGCAACATGTAAAGCGGTCAGTTCAATGCATGGCTCTCCAATATGTTTTCGTTTTATGCCACGTGTTGTTCAGCATTACGTCCGCCGTTTCATCCCAAAGACTGGGAGCTTTTTCAGGAATAGAAGTTCTGACGTTCCTGAAGAAATTCCCAAAAATGAAGCTCTAAGCTCAAGAAGATGCTCCCAGCCCGCGGAGCGAAACGTTTGAAATCATGCCAAACAACATGTGGTACAATCCAAAAAACGTCGGTTAGTTGCATGTACGTTGAACTTCTTTTGCACCGTACATAGCCAACCATGCTAATCGAAGGTGCGGAGCTACACCGCATAACCACAAAATCCTCCGCAGTAATTCAAACGCAGAATCAAATAAATGCATTTTCTGGAGGCTAGAGCCTCGAGCAATGGAGAAAGTGACACGTTATTCGAGGAGACCTACCCATGTCCCTGTAGTTGGATGTTCCCCGTGAAGTCGTAGAGGTGGCGATTAGGGGCCTCGCATTCAATACGCCCGTCAATTGACAACAAGGAATCGCTGGTCTGCAGCCCAGCTGTCAGTGGCAGGCCCTGTGTGTGGTCGGTGTAAGGCAAGAAGAGATTTGCCGGTGAACAAAGGGTGAGTAAAGAAGACGGGAGTTAAATTGTAACAGCCGGGGTCGATAAAAAAAAATCATGGAACCAATCTACGAAAAGACAAAAGCAATTTAAAACTTGATCAAGTGCCGGGACTTTGTTGTTACCTGCCGAATTTTCAGGTTCGTCTCACCGTCCAGGTTTGCGGTCTCGATGTAGCACATGGCTTGCGGCTCACTAAATAAAAACCAAAGCACAGAATGTCATCGTCGATTACCAGACTAACCTGCATCATAAAGATGAAATAATATAGCTTCTTAACCAGCGGGAGATAATAAAGATCGTAGGGTATATTATAGAAACGGAGCGATATTTGATTCTAATCGTGAGTGCTGACCTATGCTGCTGCTTGCTTGTGAGCATAATATATTTTCACATTGGATCTCAATCCCAATTCATCTTAATGTGGATATGTGGTGGTGCTGCTGCAATGCTCTTTATGGAACAAGCGTCCAAAACAGAAGCTGCCACAATGAGAAAAGATGAGTGATTGCTCGCTGAATGGAAAGCAAAAGCGAAGGCTGAACAGAGACGTTGTGACTGGATTCTAAATTAAGTTACGCAATCTCATGGGTTTTTTTTTTCGCTTTGTACTTTTACAAAATAAAAGAAATATAATAATGTATTTCTTCTTGGTTACTTGGTTCAGCAGTTATACATCAACACGTTACCAGATGACGAGCCCTGTGTGAGCTGTTTGAGTATATATATTTTACATGTATACTTCCTTTCGATACAACAACACTTTAAAATATATTTTTGTCAATTTTGGAATCATTTTATGTGTACATAAATGTATTGCACATTTGTTTAAATAATCATCTGCCAAGAAATTGTTTGCCCGTTTATAATTAGTCCTGTAAAGGATCTTTGTTATTCTTTCAACTTAGCACACGGTGCACATTGCAGGCATGTAACAATCCACCCCACCCCAATGATTGAATGGATTAAAATTTTGAGGTCTCTGTTTGACAACAAAAACGCATGTATTCATGGTATCTTGTTTAAAACGTCTCATTTTAATTGCTTTACGTTTGTTCCCTCTCATTTGTAGAGTTTCGTTTGCCCAATTGGGCCAATGTTAAGACCAACCCATAATTTCCAGAAATAATACGCAATAGATTCTCACAAGGCACATATTATGAACAAGACAACAATTTTGAATCGGGGCAATGTTACATGCCCGGCGTCGCATCAAAGTGTACAGCGGAGTGCGTGCCATGCCGCGTGAAATGGACCGTGATTGGCCGAGCTACGCCGCGGTCATTCAGACAAGCACCGGCGTGGCCCAATATTCACCGCAATAACGAGCACAAAGATGAAAAAAGTGGATTCGCGTGTAAACAATAAGAAGTTTGACACAGTCGGGAAGGACAAAAAAAAGCCGTCGTGAAGAAAACCAAAGGGGGGAACAAGAGGAGAGCGGAAAGGGACAGACCTGGAGGACAACATGACCAGGTCTGCTGGCAAATTCTGCCCATTCGTGATTCTGAGAACATCACCGACGCCAACCTCGAGGGGCCATGGGAAAAAGCGCACGGCAAGGGTGCAGAGAAAAAGAAGTTCGGAAAGGGACAACAAAGAGGGTAGAGAGGACAGAGGGAGAAGAAGGAAGAGTCAGATGGTGAAGCAAGGGAATAAATTTAGTGAGAACCGTAGCCAGGGCGGGAGGGGAGGGAGTCACTTCAAAGGGATACGAGGAGGAGTAAGTTGGCACAGTTGTGTGCCCACAGCTAAGAGCTTCTCAAAACCGTCTCGAGAGCCACTACCTGGATGCCAGAATCACAATGTCTGCTGGGAAATGCTCCTTGCTGTTTATCTTTACTACATCACCCACTGCCACCTGTAGGAGAGAATGGGTGAACAGCATCCACAGCTGGTGGCAACGTTAAACGATATCAATGCAGGTTTGGTAATTGGTCGGTAGGTTTCCGATATGCGGCAATACTACGGAGCACTCGAGACAACAGCGTTCAAGGACGAGTATAATTTCAAGTAATTGTACAATAACAACATTATTCAATTGCATCGCGTCATAATGAAACTTTTTTTAAAGACATTGTTTTCCGAAAGAAGCTCGGAGTAAAATGCATAGGAAAGCATACATTTGATAATTATATATAGTACATATATATTACAGCCCTTTGTAAATCCACTGCTGAATGAGGACATCCATATACCATGACGATAACAGGGGGTTGTTTGGCTATACTTCACCACGCTGGTCAGTGCGGGTTTGTGCAGAAGGTAAAGCCCAGGTGCAGTTCAGATATCACTAGTAACTGATGTGAGCTGTGGCTGGGAATCAAACTTGAGGTTGCTGGGTTTGTAGCGCGGTGTGCTAACCATGGCACCACCGCTCACCCGATGTGTACATAAACAACCAATATTGGATAATCCAATTACCGCTGCTTTGGTGCACGAGATAACCGGGCACTCACCTTCTCCCAGCTCACGGTATGCCAGTCTCCATTCTGCAACACTAAACCAAGGGTGGGTCATCAAAGGGGTTGGTGAAATAGACACGGTTAAGAGAGCAAAAAACAATCAAGCACACACGCAGATTGCACAACGCGTTCCAACACACACACACACAACCCTTCCCACTTTGGAAATATTTTATTTGCAACAATAACGGCCAAGCTGGAGCCAAGCGCGGCGAGAAGCGGTGCGTTGTCCCCGCGCCAGGATGAGATAACGGGAGCTCAGATAGCGGCTCTGCTGATAGGGAACGTCTCAGGCGGCAGGGCAGGGACACCAAGCAGAGTCCGTTTGGGTCGTGTGTCCAACCTTTTTGGGAAACCCTTCGATCAGTGTGTCTGGTTTTCAAATCGGGTAAGTCCCTAAAGAGCAAACGCAACCTCATGCCCAAACTTAATTGATATTGGATCATTTTTAAGAGAATTATCATGCCTACCAACCAATTTCGGATAAATGGACAGAGCTCGTGGATAAATGCTTTCAATGTAAAACGTCAACAAGCTTGGGCCCTTTAGAGCCAAGTGAAACTGGAAGAGTTACAGCCCACTGCTGGGCTATCTGTGCGACACCACTGCAGAAAATAACCGAGATGACCAACAACAGAATGAGTAGCACTACCTTTACCACACTTGGCTGTAAATAAAGGTCACAAGAGCTGTAACGGAAGCTAACAGTCCCTCCGAATGTAGATACAATGTCATTATACTCGAGCCAAATTTCCAACAAGAATAATTGAATCAGCTAAGTTGCTGCAAGTTACTGCAAGAACCGAATACATTAATAATCACAAGTCAATGGCACCCATTAACACCACTTGTGCTACTACCCTTTGGCAATACAGCTGCTGACCATATCACATTGTCACACTTTATATTCCAGAAAAGACGAGTAATAAATATAATAATAACGGAAATCACCTAATCACTATGGAGGTCAAACTGAAGGAACATCAATTGCATTCAAGAGGAGACCAGGCCCCAAATTTGAGATAGGATTTTGTACGTGTGTGTGTCAACCATTGGTGTCTTTTCAAACTATACAATCTGGCATTATTACCTTGTGTCGTCTTCTTCTTATTGACTTCCCTGTCAGCTCGGTGTCTTTTCTGGGAAAAGGATAAGGCGTGACATTTCTCTGCAAAGTGTCAATCCTTAGGAGGCTCAAACAGAAAATAAAACGATGCGGCAATTTGTACACAAGTTGAACACATGATCGGTGAGAGCATAACCAAGGGATTTCGTTGCTACCAAACCGAGACACGTTATAAGCCTTATTTAATATGCAGAACAGAAAATTTACATTTTTATGATTAAAAAAATATTCGTGTTAAAGTCAGAAAATACAGTTACCTGCAGCAAGAAGACTGACTAAACTTGTTAAATTCTCACTTACCTTATTTTTATTACGTAACTGTTATGCAAATTAAAATATGAAATGGAACAACAAGTGGACTAATGCTGCATTCCCACGACGACTCGACACGAGATCTGAGCCGCGCTTGAGCGGCCTGACTCGGGTTTTGTCCCAACTCGCTGATCCACGGGTTCCATTACTCACCACCTCCATAGCCCCCCTGTCTCTCCCTCTACTCTCCCTTCCCTCTACGGTTGAAAGGAAGTAATCAGATGTCATTTAACTTACGCTACATAATATTTGCCCACTTTCCAGTTTTCTAACCCGGTCAAGTGGGCCGTTAAGATGCCCCGTGGTAACCCAACATCGGTGGGGGCATAACTCACGTAGTCCTCAATGATCTCCTTGAGCGCGGCGACGACAAGGATGAAGATGAGAGGCATGAGAGTTGTGTAGCGCCCTGTCGGAGACACCTCTGGGATTTGCTGCTCAAAGCGCGGAGGCACAAAAAAAAGGGAGCGGCACAATTAGCATCGTCACAAAAGTGCCATTTCTCCAAGCAACGTCCACGGCGCTGCTAAAAGTGGAACAAGGGAGAGAAAAAAAACTGGAAAATGTACGAGTCGGTAACATAGCATTGCTTTCCGAGATAAGCACACACCTAGTGCTTTGGGCGAGCCTAGTCGTCAGCGGAACACACATCCGTCTTTATCTCTGGCTGCCTCGCTATGCTATTGAACATGGCGGGATTGACCACGCCTGACCAATGTACAAGCAATTTTGAATCTTTGCTGAACACGCTCTCACCACGAATGAGCTTTGCAAAACTCCTGGATTTCCATTCGCCTTTTACCAGAGGCAGCTTTTGTGCTTTTCTAACATTAGCCCTCATTTGGCTCGAGGCAAAAATCTGCGCATTGCCTTCGCGCGATGCCATGTGGCCCACACACGCGTAATCACTTTTCAATGTGTACCCCGTGCTCCAGTAAAATACAATCTAGAAAATGGACGCTCCTAACTCTCCATACAAACACCGACACGCATTGGATCTTGCCATTTCGTTTTCTTGATTGCCCACAATATTTACCATGCACGACTTGTTTGATTTTTTTTTATAAACCCACCACATTCTTTCATTTGATGTGTGCATTTAAAATCACGAGTGTATTTTTGGACCCCAAGCAACGTCTTCATTGGCTTGCTATGTCAAGAAATGGCTGGGGAATTTTCATTGAAAGTGCCGCTGAAAACTGATACTGTACTATCCTTGGTTCTTTCGGTAAAGTCACGTAGAAGGGAAACAATAATCATTGGAAGGATTTGATAAACCATTTCGGGTCTTAATTGATTGTTCACGCTTACGGTGGCTTTCAGACCGCATCCATTATTTTCGTCTCTCCCCTCCTCTTTTCCGAACATAGATGAACTCATCCATCTGAATAACTGCCAAATCGCTCTCCGTGGTGCTAACGTGAAAAAAAACGCCACTTTTTTCAAATTTTCTTGCTGTGGTTTTCACACCTGATGATGATTGCTTGTGTTGCAGTCGAAACGTCGTGATAATTTTATTGTTTTATATTTTTATTATTTTATTGTTTCCCTTATACGTGACTTTACCGAAAGAACCAAGAATATGAATCCCTGGAGTCACGAAAGCTTTGAATCAAAATTTGATACTGTACTGTTTATCAATCATACTGTTGCAATGGCCAACAAGCTCCATTAATTATAACTAAATAATTCACTAAATATCAACATGCCAACTCTGAATTTCAATTAATAAACATAAATGTCAACAAGCCACTCACGGCTCACACTGCATTTGTACAGATTGAAGTTCCTGGAGGGCCTCTAAATAATTGTGAGTGTCATCAGCATTTGCTGGCAACAGCAACTAATGAATTACACTTTGAAGGGCAGGGCAATGTAATCACACGGGAAAAAAAAAACAATATTTAAAATTCCAGAATGGGGAGGGGGGTATATTGTTAAGCAAACCCTGCAAAATAACAGAGGCCCTCCCTTCATTGTTCGGACCAGGTGAGAAACCCACTTAAAACGGAAAGTCTCTTATCAGGCGGGGTCTGGGTTAAAAGACAAACACGGGAAATAAAAGACAAATGCACAAACATTAAAGGTTAAACAAGGGATGAAATATCGATGTTGATAGAGGGGAAAACAAACATCTAATCATGAATAATTATATGGACAGACTGGTCTCCACAACATGAAAGCGAAATTGTCACCACTGGCTCAGGGCTTTCAACGGAGATAAGTGCCACCAACGCTCCTGGACATCTGTGCAAAAGAGCTTCATAGCTCATCGGATTTATCCAGAATAAATAAGGCTTCTCATTCTGAAATGACCGCAAGAATACAAACTCGATATGCTTTGTTGTCGACAGGCTCAGTCCAACTTTGGTAAAAGTGAGCGTAAAGCGAGTGTTTTCTCTTGAGGATAAAATTGTAAACAGTCGATACATTTTTTGCGTTCCACGGGGAAAACAGGACACTTCGGAATTATGAATTTCGCAACTGGCTTCGGACCACCAGTGGAAGTGGCACCCAATGCACGTGCGATCAGGGGGAAATTTAAGACCCGATTAAGTTGTTGGCAATTGTCCTCTCTGGCAAGACAAGTATCCCTTTTGACAAAAACCTGCCAATGTCTCCATTAAAGTGGGGCAAATTGCCAAGAAAACGCGTTTCTACCTGCAACCATTACGTGTGGACAGCCGAAACCACGGCACGACCTGTCACGTGCGTAAACAGGTCTCCATCAGCAATCAACACACACGCGCAGGACTGCGTGCAGCCCTAACCTCACTCTTGCCCCTAACCCAGAGGTAGTCCACGATTCATCAATTTCCGCCACCTGAGCTGCAGTGGCAATGTGAATTGTGTCACCCTCACCTGCAGGAGGGCAATGAAGAGGAAGAAGAGGTTGGCCGCGCGGCTGAACTGCTCGTACAGGAAGCGTGGCAGGAAGGTCAGAGCGTTGTACTTGGCCGTGCTGTGGAAGCAAGACCACACATTTGAACGTACAGTATGTACGTACACTGAACTTCTCTCGCACTCTACGTAGCCAACCGTGCTAATCGTTTTTTTGTTCAGCCCTCTGTCAACCTTCTGCTGGATAAAGGCCTCCCCATGCCCTGTCAGTCAACATGGAGATTGTCCGACCCCACACTGGTCAGTGCGGATTAGCAACGGCAGGGGCCACAGAGGTGGGAACACAGAAGTGCAGTGCAGCAGTATTACTCTTGGGGAAGTTGGACCGGTTCAGACATCACTCACCACTGATATTCGCCGTGGCCAGGAATTGAACCGTGGTACATTACATTATTAATCGTTGTGCACGTATTACTCTAGTTTTCCATAATATCATGTCCAGGACTGCATCAACAATATTCAACAATGCTTCAATACATTTATCTGCATTCACTTCATACCAGAAACGTATGCAACCACCTCTTCATATGAAGCAGTGAAATGTATTTAATCTGGGTGGTGATTGAATTCAATGATTCATTATGAGTTTTAACGCGATGGTAAATATAGAAGCCACATGTAGCTGCTGTGGTCATGCGTTACAGACAAGTTTAAAAAAAATGTGCACACGCAATTCGATGCATGTATCCTGAGCTTATATCTAATCAATATTAAGAATCAGTATTAATTAATAAATCAATACTTCATTATACTACTGCTCTATATGAGCGAGAAGTCAAACAAAAGAACGAAATGAGCAACGACGCATATGTGTGTGATCGTTTTTCGTATTGGGTTCTGTCAAAGTAATGACAACCCGCAATGTCAAATGCATTAGCATTTAAAGTGTGTATTATGTATGCAGAACTTATACGACGTAAAAAAAAAGTTTGCGACGCTTAAGATTACAATTTCATAAGACACAATTATCATGGTTGAATGTTATTGGCATTGTGTCAGTGTGAGGTTTTTCATTTAAAGTCAGGTAACAAGAAATACTCTTTCAATCCAAAAAGTTACCGCCACTTAAAAATATATATTTCTATCAGTGGCAGTCCAACATTACGTTCATTGCAAGGTATAGCTGCCCATATATAAATGTAAAAAAATGTAAGATTCAACACATTATTCCACAGTTGTATTCTAAAATATAGTGTGACCCCTGACAGAGTTTATGTAATTTCCTCTTGTGGCTTAAGGCCACCATCACAGATGATCACCCAACACTTACTTGAGCAGGGAGGGCACTTTCGACTTCCTGACTCTTAAAGAAATATCACGACAGAGTCGCAGTGAAAGGACAGAATACGTTCAGATAGAATACGTTCGGATAAACCGGACGACCAGGACTCCTCCTGGTCGTCCGGTTTATCCCTCCGCATTTAGAAACATGCATTGAGATTGTTTAGATTATTTTTCTGCTGTAAATTTTTAAGTGATAAGCCACTTTTGAGCTATTGCTTGTGGCCAGGTTGCATCTGAAAAAGAAGTGAATACCTCAGTGGGGTTTGCCTGGTAGGATGGCGACGGTTGAGTTGTATTTGTGTGTGCCTGGGCGAGTTGTTTACCTTTCTTGTACTTTGCACTCCTATCGTGTGTTCGTATACTGTTTGTTGTTGTAACGTCCTTACCTGCCCCGACTGGACATCTGTGAAAAAGAGCTTTATAGCTCATTGGATTCCTCCCAGTATAAATAAATATTCTGATTCTGATATTCACCGCAGGGGCAAAGTGATGACACCATCTCATGTGCAGGAGTGAGATGGATTGTGGCACCGCACGATCATGAGAGATGGCAGCAGCTTATGGAGGCCTTCACCCAGCAATGGATTGATCATGGCTGATGATGATGAAGACGATGGCAATGTAGCAATCATACGGCACGGTACAACTTCTGGAGTCACGATTGCAGGTCAAAAATGAAGGGACAGAAGCAGTGTGAATCTCCCTGCTCACCTGACGCGGTTATTGCAGAAGCGCTGCTCCTGTGGCCGATTGATGACTACCACGCGGAAATCCTGCTGGTCTGCCATGGACGTCGCCGCCGACATTTCCTCGTCAGGACGCGAGTAGCCTGCGTGCACACACACACGAATCCATCCTCGGCTCATTCCCTTAGACTGTTGGGACAAATGCCGAGCCTTCCCCCTTTCTCCTCTTCCGCTAGTTTACACATGGCGGCTGACGACGAGGCTGGACGAATTTTCTTCCGCTCCTTATTTTCTCTGGTCATGGCGACCCCACTCCGCAGACCTATGTTTGTTTTAAGTCCTCCTCTTTAATGTCATCAGGCCACCTCCTGCGTGGACTGCCTCTACTTGTCGCTCTCTCCACACGGCAGTGCAAGGACACTGATGGTAACTTGTCGGCCTCCATTTCAAGTACGTGCCAAAACTAAAGAAGACCACTTCTTTTGTATCTTTTGCAGCAAAGTCTCCTTTTGGACTACCTTTTTGTTTATGCTCACATCGCTTCGTTTTTGCGCTCTCGATACTTGCAGGAAACCATAATACTGTATGTGCTTGCTAATAGCAATTATTTATTAAGGCCTGAACAGCGACTGGATTGGTCAGGCCAGCACCACACGTGCCCGGCTGCTTTTATATCTCCAGTGCTTGTCTCAAAACGGTACCAGATCATTTCATTTAAGTTTCATTTATTAGGTATAGCCCTGTGAGCCATGCGGCTCTTAAGTCGGATGAAACCGCAACAAACAAAATTTGAACACAGATCATGTACTCGACTTTGGATGAGTCGACCTCGGGGAGACCCAAATCAGGTAAATATTGCAATTTTCATCTAATGTTATCCAGTATAGCCAGGTACTCGAACGCAGTTCACCTGGACGATCGCGTACTGCACCAAACCACTATACAACTGCACATACACGTGTACGGATTCACACGCAACACGCATGCCCGCACACACAGCGATCCCTGGTATGATGGTTTAACATTTAAACATCTGTAAGGTCTTCAAACACTTTACATGTTATACTATACAGGCTTGCAGACCTGAAGAGAGACTAAAATAGGCTTGTTTCACTGCACATAAACAAAGTCACAAACAACTGCATGCAAATCAGAGATGCTGAAAGTGACATGGGTAAAACAGTGTGGCGTAATGCACGCGGCTGTAATCCATAATTGAACAAGCGAAGCGTGAATGAGCATACAGGAGTACGGTATATCTGTCCATCTCACACACAGATGTAACTGAAGAGAGCAGTGAGGTATTGAATCGGCCACTGGTTTTGGGGTCACCAGAGGGCCACTGATGCTAATACTGCCTCAAAGGGAATTATTTGGACTCTATATGAATAGGTTTTCCCCTTTTATCTGGCAACAAAACAGGTATCCAGACCCTTTGGTTCTTTCGGTAAAGTCACGTAGGTAGAAAAATAAATAGATCACGACGTTTCGATCGCAACACAAGCAATCGTCATCAGGTGGGACAACCACAGCAAGAAAAAAACTACTGATGTAGCCTACTTCAGCAGTTGTCCCACCTGATGACGATTGCTTGTGTTGCGATCGAAACGTCGTGATCTATTTATTTTCTACCTACGTGACTTCACCGAAAGAACCAAAGAGTATGGATTCCTGCAGTCACGAAAGCTTCAAATCAAGAACAAAACAGGTGTTAAGATGCTAAAACACCAAACTGAAACCTTTTCAAAGGAATCATGTCTGCATTAACCACAGATTCTTGTGGTGAAAATACAAAAAAAACATGCTCTGATAGTATATGCATTGTCTGATTGAAACTTATTGGTCCACACCAGACAGCTTTCTTTAGAGCCTAGTCTCAAACAGTATTAGACCAGAGGACGCCAAAAGGCGAACAGCACAAAGACAATGCCACGATCAGGACAATGAGAGCTCGGGGTGAGCAGCTACATCATGGGACCTCCTTTGCAAGTATCAAAATATAAGAAAAAGTGTTCCCCTTTTTTTTGTTCCCCTTGCAAAAGGTTTCAGTGCCACAAAAAAGGGGAAAACCTCTTCTTATATATTGACACTGGCAAAGGAAGTCCCATGATTTGGACGGTCTATTTTACCCTGCTATAGACAATACGTTTACAATATATCCCAAAGTTATATTTTTCCCTTGCTTAGTTGTCCAGCCTATAAGCATGTGAATGCTTGGCGTGTTAAAATTTCCAACATGTAAAATGGGATATTTTCCTTCAGTGCTTGATGCCGACTTCGCTACGATTCATTGGCCTACATGAACAAAGGCCTAAATATCTCATTTTCATGAACCACAGAACTCAAGGGGGGAAACTCAAGTGGTGTTTCCCCCCTTAAGCCCCATTACAAAAAATGTTTTAGACAACTCGAGTTGTCTGCCGAGGCTGAATTTGGGCTGACCAGAAATATCAATACCATGGTGAAAGACTCTGCCGAACTCACTTGATAACCTGAGCAACTCGGAGGGTCCTGGAAGTGCTCCTTATTTTAAATCAACTCGGAGATGTTTCTGGGAAAAAAAAACCTGGCCAATCTGAGTCGAGTCGATTCTCGTTCGCTGCCCACTGGAAAGAAGTCCGAGTTTCAGCATTCACGAATCCGCTTCAAGAACTGGTGTCTTTTTGGAACGTGCGACTGCAGTTTATTTTGGTAAAGTTAATTACTAATAAGCCTATAATTTGACATTAATCCCTGAAGGATACGCATTAGTATGATCATTGTTTTTTTTTCCCAACTGCAAAAATATTTGTCATTGCAGCAACATGTCCCTGATATACTGTAGCCAGGAAATTTAATCAACGTGAAGAGCTGCAAGATACAAAATTAAGTGGTCGTTTATAAAAGTTGTAAGTGGCATTGAGCCAGAAGAATAATGAGAAAAAAACCATAGAAATGAAAACTAATACATTTCATAATATTTAATGATAATTTATGCTGCGCTGACCCAATCTGTCTGTAATGCGCAGTAAAAATCACAGACCAGGGCAGACCTGGTATGGCTTGTGCTGTGCGTATTGCTTCTCTAAATCAAAAACTGTGTACATTTAACACTGCAAAGCCCCCTCCTGCTGGCAGTGGGTTAAGAAAAAAAATCACAGCTGACAATTTTTGTAACCAACACATAGAAGCCGATGTACCCAAACAGCGCCAGTAAAGCTTACCGGCAGAAATCCCACAAACATGTAAATGTAAATAAATCTCACAATAATGACTTCCCTGTTACACAAGACTAAAATAGCTTCTGTACCTTCAACAGCTCATCCAGATACAGTATAGATCAAGCGAGCTGTTGATGAAAGTATGTGACAAGTATGCACAAGCCATTGTATTTTTTCCAAAACATCATTAAAAATTCATAAAAGGTTTTTTGGTTAGATCGCGATGGCCGGGTTTTGTGCATTGAACAAAGAAATATTAAATTATCTCAAACAACTTTCGGCAGTGGCAAAAAATGCTTGCCAACAAGGCCACTCAATTGATTTTGATAACGTTGAAGTGTTATGTAAAACGAATTATTACTGGCCAAGACTAATTTGAGAATCCTTTGAAATTGAGAGAAATACAAATAATTTTAATCGCTCTGACAGCTACAGGCTTAGTGCGGCCTAGAAGCGTATTAATAATACATATTCCAATTACAATTCCTTACAGGGGGAAACGCATACTAATTCACTGATTACTAACGTAGTATATTACAATACCCCCCCCTCCACTTCTGATTTCTGCACCTGATTGGGTATAGCGATTGGGTTCAGTTATTAAATAATACACATAACAACTCCTTATAGAGTAATCATAACAATTAACTGATTACTAATCTATTATATAATTACAATACCCCCCCCCTCGGCCTCTGATCTCTGCACCTGATTGGGTGAAATGATGACGTCACCCTGCTGCTCGATTTAAGCAGGTGGAGGGCTTCACTATTTTGGCAAATCGCCCGATGATGCTGGATGTAAATACCAGCGAAACGTCGTACTCAAAATTGTAAATGTTGTGGATTTACTCTTCAACACACCGGTGGGCTAAAGTGGTGAACTATGTCTTTTGTCAACGTGACACATTTTGGAGCCGTCCATAAATGACGTCACGCGATTTTGGCCGATTTTTGACCCCCCCCTTCCCCCCTTTGTCACAGGGCGTCACAAAAAGTCAGACCCCCCTCAAATATGACGTCACAAAGGTCTGCCCCCCCCCAAAAAAAACCTCATTTACATTTAGAAAATAAAACATGCTTCAAATCACTTTAAACTATTGTCATTGTAGTGCGTATTTAATGTGGCGCTGCACTCTGATGTTGTAGTAGAAAACACTATTAAAAAGGTGTTGAAAAGCTGAAATTTAGCATAAAATTCACTCGAAAATATTCAACGTCTAACTAAAACTGCAGATGTTCAGAATAGATTGAAATTCTCTTATAATTATAAAATATTCAAAGTAATTATAACTATAAAAAAATACTTGAAACTTTGTAGTAGAACGAAGAAATATGGAGAGTAGAATTATAACGATCACATTAATTCCACAGAATGAAAAGCCCTGGTAGAATCATTAGAATCAAAATGTTTAATAACAATCATTCAAAAAATTTACAAAATGTATGCTTCTCCATTCTCCCATGGAGAAGAAAAATGATCCTTCGTGGAATAAATAAAAGGTGACCTCAGTAAATTTAAATAATAAAAGAGTTAATCATGAAAATCAATCGAAATTAGTGGTCATAACAATTCTATTCAATTGAATGTATTTAAAATTGCGCATTTTGATGTGACGTCACATTTCTCAAACCCCCCCTCGTCACACATCGTCACAAATGTCTGACCCCCCCTCCCCCCCTCGGTGCGTGACGTCATTTATGGACGACCCCTTTTAACTGATTGGCTGTCGGGTGGTGGAGGGCTGCGACATTTATAAATAACGCGACCCAACCCAAAAACCTTTATTATGAATAATATTGGTCGCGAAAACCTACGTGTTAAACTGATCATTAAAAATTTAAGGAAAATTATCCCACCCCACTCAGCAGGAGTACAGTAGATGGAAAGCACCATTTGTAAGTGTAGGAAGGACACAGATGCGTTGTGTATGTTGTGTGTGC